AATTTCTACTTTTATATCTAACTAAGTTTTTCACGTGATTCTGGAAATAATGTTATATTCACAAATGAATTTTATGTGCCAGCCAAATGACTTGTCTCGTACAAATTGGTTTGCACGTTGTACAACACGCTAATCGTCAACTGTGTTATCTCCTGGAGAGAAATTGTTACGAATTAATCCAATTTTATTATTTCAGACATACGCGTACACTATGATGTTTTGAGCTCTTTTCGCTAAAAGGCGCTCGTGATTAGTTGTGCAACGCAAAGAACATGACTAATATATTTAGCACAGAAGGGTAATATCCTTCGTGAACATCATTTATTAAAGAAATGGAAAAGAACGTAAAGTTGTCATAAATTGTTTCATGCTGATTCTTTCCAGTAACTGGTGTGACGAGCCAAACAACGTCTACTGAGGAGGCCTGGGGACTAGTCGTTATTCGGGTCGTCACGTATTACTTATTATTATATAGACACGAGTGTTTTACTGGAAAATAGACCACTCGTAAAATTCATACGAAACTACATCCGGGACCCGAGTGGCGTATTTTCCATATCCTCACTAGTGAGGATATCGATGACGTAATTTCCCGCTTTTGCATGGCTTTTTGTGCAAAGCTGCCAAACTCCGGTTGAAAATGGCGAGCGATAGATTCGTGAAATTCACTGAAGCCGACATGAAATCGTTCACAGAGGAGTAGGAAAATGTTAACACGAAGAAGAAAACTTCATATGACTTAAAATTATTCAAGGAGTTCCTTGCAAGTGAAGACGAAAGGAGAGAAATTCGGAAAGTCCAGCCACCGAGCTGCAAGAGTTCGCGGTAAAGTTTGTGCTTTTGTCGTTTGTCTATATAATAAAAAGAACATTACACGGTGGCTTGAAGATATGAATTTTATTTTCTCGTGTTAAAAACAATATTTTACTCACTCGCTGCGCTCGTTCGTAAAATATTGTTTTTACCACTCGAAAATAAAATTCATATCTTCGCGCCGCCGTGTAATATCCTCTATTTACATGGCTCTCCTATTTCCTTGCTTCCGCGTGAAGCAAGGAAATAGGAGACGTCTGCACGCAGGCTACACAGATCTTTATTATACGACATAGCATTTTAGAGTGCGAATACGCACAAAGACGAGAGCAAATATGAGACCGTATTACACGGGTCTTAGTCCCCCTGACCGCGCGCTACGGAAAACTCTGTTGAAAGCCTATATTTTAGGAAAGATATTATGTCGTATAATAAACTTATTCAGCGGAAAGTTGTGTAAAGGCTCGAAAAAATAAAAACTGACGAGTAAAAATACCCAGCCGTATTACACAACTTTCCGCTGAATAACCTCTTTAGGCTCTCTTTATACATGGCGACCCAGGTAATGGCCTCGAAGACTACCCGGGAAGTGACTCCAAAGGGTATGGTGTTTGACCCGCTTTCGTTTGAAATGGGGTTTATACAGTTTTGCGTTTTTGGTCTGGAATAAGGTATGCGTTGTACAAGACTAATAAGGACAAAACTCGTGAAATGTACGATAGAGAGAGAAAAGAAGCACTGAACGTCATTGGATTTGATCAGGAGCATATCACCTGATTTGATAAAATTCAATCAAATACCTCTTCTCAGATATGAAAAGCTAATGGCTCCGTCAATTCCAAGCCCGACCATCCCCCCCCCCCCCCGGGCATTTGTCGGGCATTTTACAACTTTTCCATCCCTAGGGTGGGGCATTTGCTATAATCGGGCAGCCCGGGGGTGGGGCATTGTCAAAGGCAACGCGATCTTTCGTATTTTAAAAGACGTACACGTTTTGTTGTTTATTTAAAATTTCCTGATTGCCCCGATAGAAAAATATAAAAACTGGGTTGATATTATTTGAGTCCCGCACTTTTCAAGTGTACCGTAGCCCCACCCCCACCCCACCCCCACCCACATGTGCAAACATTTGCACCGTTGCTTTCCACGTGCGAACCAAAGATGTCAAAGATGGCGGGACAAGACAGGTATAAATAAAGAGCTCTGTATTTGTGAACAATTATAGTGTCCATCATTAATAGTTCTGCTTGGAATTTAGATTTTTAAATTCCTCGATCCTCTCAAAAAAGTTTTGAACTCGTCCCGTGGGTCGGGCATTTGCACTGCCCCTGAAGCCCCACCGTGGGGATTTTGTGCATGTAAGCTGACCCCACCGTGGGGAATTTTCAACCTTCTGACAAAAAAATGACAAATGCCCGACAAATGCCCGGGGGGGGGGGGGGGGATGAGCGGGCTTGGAATTGACGGAGCCATAAAGTATACAAATTTTAAGACTAGGTCTGAAATAGGGTGGGTGAAGATTACTCTGGCATAACCCCCATCAAAGATACCAAGGAGTAGCAAATGAACTAAACGAGTATCATTATAGTGCAGACCTTCCTTCCCGCGTGATACAATTCTTCGTATCAGGGGACGGTGAATGTGATGGTGGGATTGCAGATGTCCGTTTCACATGATAAGAACGATAGTACACGAGACTAGTAGCTCAACGAGTGATGACCTGTACGCTTCCAACCCTTCCCCACTCCCCTCACCGGGAGGGGAATCGGATGCTCGTATCGTCGGTAATAAAATTGGAATTAAACCCCAAACGGGAGACCAATCTGGGCATGGCCTTTAAGCTTTATGTGACCCCTAAAAGATACCATTCTAAAACAGACAGACAAATAAGAGTTATAGTGACTTTAATGACGATAAAGACGTTGTCATCGAATGCTTTCATCATCAATATATATCGTTCATTGTCTCTTTCGTGCAACCCTATTAAAAATAGGTCCGCAATGCGTACATGTGTTGTCTGTAATATTTTTTATTGTTATTTATTTATTTCTAACTTATTTTTTAACATTTTTATTTTTTATATTTTCAATTGGTTTTGGGTAAAACTGTGTTCTCCTAGCCTCTCTACGCCTGGCTGCGTTCTCTAGTAGTTGAATAGCCTGAGATCAGGCTCCGAGAGAAATCGCCGAGCGCAGACTGGGGCGGGAACGAAGGCGATTTCTCTCGGAGCCTGATCTCAGGCTATATTTATACCTGCTGTCAGGTTTCCGTGACTATAACTTTTTACACCAGTTTTCACTGACCAAAAATTTGATTGGCAGGTGTCAAACCCATTTCAAAGTTGAAGCTGTTTTAAAGGTCAAATGCAATGAAATTTTAATAAGATTAGTTTTAAGTCGAAATCATAGGGAATATTATGAATAATCACATTCTGAAGTTTGAAACGATTTTGGCAAAACGTCTCCGAGATATTCGACTTTGAAAACCGCCTTTTTTTTCGCTTCCACAAACGGAAGCGTTCGGGCAAACTTCGGAAAATTGTCGGAAATGGAAAGCTCACCACATATGACGTCACATACACGCGCGAGTCCGCGAGAAGAGCGGGAATTGAAATTCTGCAGTTTCAAAACATCAACAAGTGTGGTGTTTTGCGCTGCTTTTAACTGTAGCAACTGTTCAAAAACGTCACTTAAATAGTGAATTCACATTGCTATAAACTATTTCGCGATTATTCCAACACGTCAGGAGTTGAATTCGCAGGGACAGAGTTCAAGTCCAGATAGAGAAAGGAAAATTCACCGTCGTGTGTTCACGTTCTCCATAATACCGTGAATTTGGTCATTTGACGTTGTTGTTTTGCAGAGGACGGCAAAGAAATGTACTAAAATGCAAAACGCACGTGCGGAGCAATTGTGCTACTAATTAAATCTATTGTTTTGTGACGTTATCGTTTCCGTCGCCGTCGTGGTTGTTTAAGGTCCCTAATCAGGCGTAAGCTTTTTTACATTCCCTAACGACGAGAAGAGATGCAAGGAATGGATGAGATTAATTAATTTGTTGTATTTGAGCATTTTCAAAGGAGATGTCAAGGTCTTCATCCATTTTCGTCAATACCGGCTATGGTATAATCTCCGAACAAACCCAGAACACTTGACTCAAGCAAATTACAAGCTTCAAACACGCGCGAAAACACGAGCGAAAACACGCGTGAAACATATGACGTCACAAAAACAGTAAATTCGTTTTCATTCCAAGCGCGGTCATTTCTGGTTCGTTTTCGTTCAGCCGTCGGAAATTCTCGGAAATTGTCCAATTTTGTGCCTTTTAAGCGCCACAAACTAGCTTTTGAGGGTTGAGTATGATTGATGCCAGTATAAAGAACAGTTTTCGCGACAAAAGAAAAAATACCAAATTTCGTTGCATTTGACCTTTAAGTGCTCTGTCGCGTGTCATAAAATTTATATTAATTTTATTAATTGTATAATATATAAACATGCCACATCACGCTTCCTAAGGGTTGTCATTTGTCAAAATTTTATTACTAAGTAAAATTTCAAGATTAACACTACTAGCCAACAATATTAAATTAATAAAGATCTTGCGTCATTTCATTGTGCAAAAACCTCAAGTAGAAAAGGTAAAGCCGCACTCGAGCCAAACTGGCCCACAACTGCCGGAGCTTATCCCGGTTTGTGTTGCATGAAACCAACTAGGAGTATTGATAGGCTGCAGCATTTTGTCGCCGGTACCCATCTATACTCTTGGGTGGAGAGAGGCACTATAAAAGTTTACCTAGAACACAACACGATGACCCCGGCCAGCGCTCTAATCTGAGTCCAACACGCTAACCATTAGGCCACCATGTCTCCCACACTACAAACAACTGAAACTGATCAGTGGCAGATACAAACCTGTTTATAAGGTGGGGGCCTGAAAAAGTGGCCGGCCCTTCAGACCTTACAGCAAGGAACCCAAAACTGTCACGGCCAGACCACTTTTAATTAATTCACATTCTTTCGTGCGTGCAGACTATCCAATCAGAAGCGGAGAGTAGCTATCCTCGGCTTATGATTGGATAGTAATACAGACACAAAATAAATGTTGGGCTCTTGCTGTAAATGTAAGTGAGAGCCTCACAATTGTTATTTTCGTGCACAAGGGGGGGGGGGGCAGCTGAATTCATTGGGAGGTGCAGTGGCCTAATGGTTGGGGGATTTGACTTTGGATCAAGGGGTCTGAGTTCGAGCCACCCAGGTGTCTAAATGGGTACCAGTGAGTTGACAGAGCAACCTGACCAAAATACTGGAGGTTAGTACCTGTGATTGACTAGCATCCCATCCTTGGGGAGTAGCAATACTCCTCGTGGGAGGTGATTTTTCACTTGCGTCCTCACCCACTCAACTAACCCTGAGAAGAATGATGGCGGACTACTCGTAGTCAACAATACTCCTAGTGTGTAGCACTAAATTTTTGTGGGTTCGGAGCAATCAACCACAGCAGAACAAGATACTCATAATAATTAAACCCTGATTGACGTGTTTTAGCCATGGTTTTACCTGTATTTTGATTACAAGTGAAAGATACTGTACAACATGAGTGGCAGATCTGTATTCGGCTCTCCGTTATATATAAGTCCCATACAGATCTGGCGCGAATATTGTATCGAGCTTATATGACACAAATGCATCTAAATGTTCATGTTTTATCAACTATACAAAAATCATTTTAGGCGAGTAAATTGAAGGAAAGAAAGTTTATGTAAATCAGGAACAAAATCTGTATCCGATTTTACAGATATCATTAAACATTGGCCGTGTTTCACACTAGAGCGGGAAACTCGTGTCTGAGAGGGTTATCTGTCTCGGACGAGTTTCCCGTCCTAGCGTGAAAACGGGACGGTTATAATTTTAGACGGTGTAACTTAGACGGATTTCTAAGACGCGTTTCCCGTCTGTGACGGATAACTCGTCTTCGAAATAAGGAAAGGTAAACCGCGCCTCAGCTTCAAAGTGAAATTGACAAGTAGTTAGACTCGTCTCGAATTCACACTAGGACGAGAAACCCGTCAGATGAGTTTTCCGTCAAGACGAGTTTCCCGTCTCTGAAAACGGCCATTCTTTTCTTTTGTATTTTCTTTATGGATTTATTATTGATGAGTGTTGTGATTCCAATAAATTTGCAAGCGACTTACTGAAAATCGCAAAAATCAATTCCCAGTGAGTTCTCTGCCAGATCCCACAAAACACAAAAAAATCGCCAATCCACAAAATTAAACTCCCGCAAAAATTCAGTGCCACACACGGTATATGTACATGTAGTCATTTCATACAGTTGCATGTTTTCAAATAGTCGCGACACCTCACAATGTAAGAAATGTTTTAATGACAGCACTACAGTGAAATCCCGATTTCTCAAACTCAATTTCTCAAACATCCCGAGAACTCAAACCAAACGTCGTTTCCCTCAGATTCATTTCACTGTATTTTACCCCGATATTTCGAACTCAATTTTCGTTTCCCTTGGAGGTTCGAGCAATTGGAATTCCACTGTATGTCCACTATGGATGTTGTTATATCCAAGTTTTGGAAGCTGACCTCTACAAGCCAACTGTAAAATTAATAATGCCCCAAATTTTTAGAACCGAGCAAATTAAACCAGGATTGCACACTTGTACTTTATAAGCCCGCTCTACTTTTAGTTGAGTAAAATGCCTATTGAGCAATAATAATAATAATAATATTATTATTATGACTTTAGGGTTGGAGGGAGGCATAGTCAAGGGTAGAAACCTCTAGACTAAATACAAATAACACCTAGATTTGCAAAATTAATAAATAAATATTATGCCTAACAATAAAACTAAAAGGTCGGATATATTTACGTTGTGCAGGCAAAATGTTTCTACCAATGGACTGCAGAATTCCCTTTAACATTTTGATAACAGGTTTTCTGAAATCTCCCGGATCTGCCATGATTGTGTCCTCTGATTCATCATCTGAATCCAGTGTCAAATCTTCATCCTTGGGGCGCAAGTCCAATCCACCATAAAACACTTTATCATGCTGTTCCCAATCATAGTTCTTTTCAAGCAAGTTTACGCTGGGTACAAAGAAAGATGGCAACTTCTCCTGTTCAAGACAGTTTTCAATGAAATCATAAATTTGTTTTGCCCAAATAATAACTTGGTCTTCAGATGAGTTTTGTTATATCCAGGTCAACTTCTTTCTGATAAGCTTTTATTCACCAAGGTAAACAGCGCATTTTTTAAAAAAGTAACTGGATATAACTTTCTCTGCTGTGATGATGTTATGATCTGGCCATTTCGATAAGTCTGTTGGTTCATCATTTTCAGCGTCGTCGTCATTATCATCATCATCATTATCATCATCATCGTCATCATCAGAACCACTTGGTTGCTCTTGTACTGTTTCAATCCATGATGCAATTGGCGAGCAAGTATAAGCACTTCTCACTGCCTTTGCAAGAATATAGCTCAGACGAACCTGCTCTGGAAGGGCCGGAATATTTTGGTTTCAGCCAGTGAAAAGGAAAGACGGAAAGTGTTTTCTCTACTTTTAAAAAAAACCTTTCACCATGCAACGCCATGACAACATGAAACTCCTCTTTCCTTCATCTGTGGGTTTAACAATGCTGATTCAGAGACATTTGGGGGCCAGAAGTTGGGGAAGTACAATGCCGGGACAATGTCCACATTGATCAACATATCTCTGTAAACTTGTCCATGCCACCTGAAGGTAGCTTTTATTGCATTAGCCCACGTGAAACATTTACTTACTGGCGCTAATGTCAAAATATCTTCCCAAATTTCTTTTTCTAAAAAGGCTTCATTAAGTTGATCGCTGAAGTCACTGATCAATTTTGAACTTTTTAAAACTGTTATCTTTGTCCATGTATTGCATAATGTTGTGCTCTGGGAGGCCAAAAATCAGGTTTAATTTGTAGTTGACAAAACATTGAAGGACTGGAAACCACAGTTGGCTCTTGAAAACACTCACTAAATTGTACCATAGTACACAAGAAGTCAAACTCATCAGGAGATCCACATTTGGTTCCTTCGCTTACGCTGCCCGAGATTTCAGGTTGAAAAGTAAATAGAGGACAGGTTTTTGAAACTTCAACTGCCACCGCTCAATAACTTTTCTCACTGCGGTTTTGGACATCCTGCGTCTCTGCAATCTCTGGTAGTTTACCAATGACGGGTGACTTCAGAAGCTTCTGGAGTGTTCTGTTGGGGTCAGTGTTTAGAGAGAAGTCCTCTGATTGCATGCTTTCAACCACTTCTTGCATCTTGAAATCTTCTTCAACCTCGTCTCTCAATGGAAAAAACACCAGGTAGCCTTTCTCTTTTAAAACCTTCGTTCAATGACCGAAAAAAGTTCTCGAAGAGATCGATTAGTTGCACATATCCAAAGTACCTAGCCCACTGGAGAGGAGTTCGACCAGAATTATCTGGCTTTGACGCCAAACAAGAGTCAGTACACTGATCAGTTAATAAATAATGGAGCATTGTAGAATTGTTGTAGAAAACAGTGTAGTGAAATACAGTTGCTCCATTGTTGTCTGCGATATCAACCAGGCAGCCATTCTCAAACATTACCTTTACATTTGCTGTATTTTTCAAAGAGCATGCCAAATGTAAAGGAGCAACACCATTTCTGTCTTTGATGTTTACGTCTGCACCATGGTCAATAATAAACTGCAAGATAGAGTTCTGTTGTAGTTCAGCTGTCACATAATGTAGGAGTGCACGTCCAAATATGTCTTGACTATTGATGTCGTAGCCCTTCATTCACGAAGAGTTTCACTATTTTTGAAGGTCTAGAATTCTCTTCATCATACCGATCTGAAGGGGAAGAATATAACATTCTCAACATTATATGCAGGGGTGTCATTCCTAAAGAATTCCTGCTGTTTATCGAGATTCCAGCCTCGTATCAGAAACTGTATAGTTTCTATGCTAGCATCCCGTTCAATCGCCTTATGCAGAAGGTTTTCACCTCTTGAAGATAGCGTAGCAGATAGATCGGACGCCAAGATCAACAAGAACTTGCAGTACCTCGATGGCATCAACCTCGACCATCTCGTACACAGAAGGGTCAGAGGAGCCAAGGTAAACATTGCTAAGTAACTCGTATGTTCCATTTCGCATGCGATGAGATTTTTGCAGGGAAAATCCCCCGTCTACGAAAGTCTGACATGCTTTTTTGTTTGCAACGCGTAAAGCATATTCAAATGGTAGTCTTCCTAGTCCATGATCCCTGTTGAGCATATCTGCACCGTAGTTAAGCAGAAGTTGAACCATTTTGTAGGCCTCCTCTTTTTCGTAGGTGACACAGTGCAGCGGTGTGAATCCATATTCGTTAATACTATTTGGGTCTTCTCCATCTTTTAAACAGTTTTTCTACAGTTTCAAGATCACTATTTAACAATAGTTTGTCGTGAAGTGTCGAGAAGGGTCCAGAAGTGAAATCCATCCGCCATCAGTGTTGCTCTCGGCGTGGCGCGTTGATTTCTGGGAAAAAGTAAAGTAGGCTCGCTTGGCGTGCCAAAACAATCAAGACGAGAGAATATTAAGAAAACCAGGTATGAGGCCCGGTTGTTCGAAAGCCGATTAACACTACTCCCCTAATCCAGGATTAAAAGTCAATCGAGGTTTTTTAAATTTCTCTTGTATAAAAGTGTTTTTCTGTGTTAATGCTTTGTAAAGTTTGAGATTAGTCAAAGTCATCACAGAAGGACAAAACCTCACTGAAAAATTACAATCAAAATTCACGCTAATCTTGGATTAGCTTAATCGTCTTTGAACAACGGTGATATGCTCCTGGAAAAAGCCATTTGTTCTAAAAACGCAAAGTAAGAGCGGTTTACACTCAGAAAATAGATATCTCCGATTTATAGAATAGACCATTTCACTGTCTATCACCCTGGGTTCCAAAGGATTTGTTTTCCTTTTTCCTTTGTGCGAACTGTAAGCGCGAAGCCGCGACAACGTTTTCGTCGCTCCGTCGTCATTCGCTTTGTTGGTTCAACGCTCCTCGCTAACCATGGAAATGTGCAACGCTTTGTACTGTTGATAAAACAATAGAATACGGCAAAAACAAAGAATACAATACCATATAATACATATTCACATAATTCTACCTAAGAACAAAAGTACACACCCTAAATCGCGCATCATATGTAATCTGTACTGTCAAGAAAATAATGACCTTTCAATGGATTGGTGACCGGATTACACAA